TTCCTCACAATTTAGCCAGGACCCCCGCTCCCGCTCGAGACTTCCTCGCATTTTATTCAGGAATCGCGCTCTCGCTTGGGACTTCCTTACGATTTACTCAGGAATCGCTCTCCCGGCGCTCTGGAGTCGCGCTCTCGCTGGAGACTTGCTTGGAATTTATTATAGCACCGGTACGTGGTGACCCGCGCCATTTTGGCTGCGTTGCGGCCATGCCGCTCCCCGCACGCGTGCGTACTGCTGCCTCTGGGTCTCTCGGCTTCCGCCACCCTGGGAGTTGCAGCCTGCCAATGCACTCGCCTCCTGGCGTCAATTCTTTGGCCAACGGTCCTTCGGACCACTTTGGTTCTCGCGCTCACGCCGACGTCCGGGGCCTCGCCTTTGCATTTCTCTTTCCTACCTCGACTGGCGGTTCGTTGGCCACGGCCACCTTGGTGCCCATGCAGTCGTTTGAGTTTCGGTATCATGCATTCTCTCTCGGAGTTGTCCTTGGCCGTCGTTGATGTTCCGACTTTTGGCGCCTCCGACGGCCTTGCATCTTTGCACTCTGGCAGTTCCACTCGGCTTCGGTCCCTCCAGCCATCCACCTGCCGTTGGGCCGCTGCGTGAGGCCTCGGCCGGCACGTGGCTGTTGCCTTGCGCGTCGCATCTGCCTAATTACTGTCTGCGTAGCCCGCTCGGACCTGATTCGCCGCTGGCGCGCTCGCCCGCGGCCGCTAACTAAAAAGTATCCCCACCAGCCCGTCCAGAAATGAACCCCAGGGGAATGGAGGTGATGAGGGAAGCGGGGGAGCATGCAGAAGAACAATGGGCGGGTAAGCTGCCACATGCCCCTAAGAGGGGGAGGATGTAGGAGGAATCGTCGTCGTCGGAGTAGGAGGAGGAAGAGGAGGAGCAGGAGGAGGAGGGGGAGGAGAGGAGATGGGGGAGGGCGAGGACGAGGAGGACGAGGAGGAGAAGGAAAGGAGGAGGAGGAGGAGGAGGAGGAGGAGGAGAGGAGGAGGAGGCGGAGGAGGAGGAAGGCGGGTGCGGGAGGAGGGGGAGGAGGAGGAGTGGAAGGGCAGGGAGGAGGAGAGGAGGAGGAGGAGGGGGGGGGGAGGAGGGAGGGGGGGTGGGTGTGAGGGGGGGGTGTGGGGCGGGCGTAGGGGGGGAGGGGCGGGAGGGTGTGTGCGGAGATGCTTGCAGCCGTTGTTGCAGGAGGAGGAGGAGGGAGGAGGAGGAGGAGGAGGAGGAGGAGGAGGAGGAGGAGGAGGAGGAGGAGGAGGAGGAGGAGGAGGGGAGGAAGGAGGAGGAGGAGGAGGAGGAGGGAGGAGGAGGAGGAGAGGAGGAGGAGGGGGAGGGGGAGGAGGAGGGTGAGGAGGAGGAGGGGAGGAGGAGGAGGAGGAGGAGGAGGAGGCGGAGGAGGAGGAGGAGGAGGAGGAGGAGGAGGAGGTGGAGGAGGAGGAGGAGGAGGAGGAAATAATAATACTAATAATAATAATAAGAAGAGTAAGCATAAGAAAAATAAGAATAATAAGAATAATAATAATACGAGTAAGACTGAGAATACTAATAATAATATGAATACTAAGAATAATAATAAGAATACTAAGAATAATCATAAGAAGAAGAATAATACTAATAATAATACGAAGAAGAAGAAGACTAAGAAGAAGACGAAGAAGAATAATACTAATACGAATAAGAAGAATAATAAGAATACTACGAAGAAGAATAAGAAGAATAAGAAGAATAAGACGAATAATAAGAAACATACTACGAATAAGAAGAATAATAATACGAAGCAGAAGAAGATGAATAATAATACGAATACGAAGAATACGAATAAGAAGAATAAGCAGACGAAGAAGAATAATAATAATAATAAGAATAATAATAAGAAGAATAATAAGAAGAAAAATACGAAGACGAAGAAGAAGACGAATAATAATATGAAGAAGAAGAAGAATCATACTAATAAGAATAATAAGAAGAATACTAATACGAAGACGAATAATAATAATAATAATAATAATAAGAAGAAGAATAATACTACGAATAAAAATAATACTAATAATGATAATAAGAAGAAGAATAATAAAATAATAAGAATAAGACGAATAAGAAGAGGAGGAGGAGGAGGAGGAGGAGGAGGAGGGGAGAAGGAGGAGGAGGAGGAGGAGGAGGAGGAGGAGGAAAGGAGGAAGTGGAGGAGGAGGAGGAGAGGAGGAGGAGGGGAGGAGGAGGAGGGAAGAGGGATGGGGAGGAGAGGAGGAGGAGGAGGAGGGGAGGAGGGGTGGAGGAGGGGGAGGAGGAGGAGGAGGAGGAGGAGGAGGAGGGGAGGAGGAGGAGGAGGAGGAGGAGGATAGGAAGAGGAGGAGGCGGAGGAGGCGGAGGAGGAGGAGGAGGAGGAGGAGGAGGAGGAGGAGGAGGAGGAGGAGGAGGAGGAGGACAATGGCGAGCTTGGGGGCCCCTTGGGCCGTCTTTGGGGCCTCTTGGTGGTCCCGGGGGCCTCTCGCGTATCCTGGGGAGCCTCTTGGGGCCTTCTTGGGGATCTCTTGGGAGTGTTTTGGAGGCCTCTTGGGCGCCTCTTGGGGCTTCTTGGGGCTCTCTTGGGGCGCTCTTGGGGCGCTCTTGGGAGCCTTCGGGCCGCTGTTGGGGCCATCTTGGACGAGATCTATCAAAGAAGGGGAGATGGTCAATCAGCGTTGCCCCTCTAGAGTGCCTCGAATCGCCTCTTGGGCCCCCCAAGAGGCCAAAATCCTTCCAAAACCTAAGGAAAAACAATGTTTTGTGCTTTCTCGCCTTTTCGCTCTTGGAGCCGTCTTGGGCCATCCTGGACGCCCCAACGACCCGCGGAACCTTCCGTCCAGGTCCAGGGGAGGGGGCAGGGGGAGGGGTCAAGACCCCCTCCCCGCCCGCAAGCCGTCTCGCTCACTCCCACCCGCCCTCCCGACACATACGTAAAACCCGAGTCTGGCCCGAGCCACAGCATATTCAGCAGTCGTCTTTGGATGGGCAGCTACTGGGGGCCAATCCGCCGCCGCCGCCGTCACCGCCTCCGCCGCCGCCGCCGCCGCCGCAGCCGCCACCGCCGCCGCCCCCCGCTGCCAAACCGCCGCCGCCGCCGCAGCCGCTGCCGCCACCGCCGCCGCCGCCGCCGCAGCCGCCGGCGCCGCCGCCGCCCGCCGCCCCCGCCGCGCCGCCCGCCGCAGCCGCCGCATGCCGCGCGACCACGCCGCAGCCCGCCAGCCGCTGCCGCGCATGTGTACTCTGTATTGTTCCCAACACTCGTTTTGAATAGAGCACTCTGGTCGCCCCGTCCTCCCGCCCACCTCCCTCCTGCCTCCTACCTCCTCCTCGCGGCGCCATCTGGGGGGCTGCGATATGCGCATCTGTCGCCTCCTGCGATCTTGCGCAACTGTCGGCACTTTCGTGGGCTCCTGGGAGGCCCAGCGGAGTGGGGGTTACACGCGGATCGGCGGCCCGAGAACTCGCCGGCCTCCCTTGCGGCTGGGAGGGGTGCGCGCGGATCGCGTCGGGACCTCGCGGCTCCCTGCGGGGGGAGCTGCCAACTGCGCAATTGTCGGCATTTTCGTGGGCTCCTGGGAGGCCCAGCGGAGTGGGGGTTACACGCGGATCGCGTCGGGACCTCGCGGCTCCCTGCGGGGGGAGCAGCCAACTGCGCAATTGTCGGCACTTTCGTGGGTTCCTGGCGAGGCCTAGCGGAGTGGGGGTTACACGCGGATCGCGTCGGGCCTCGCTGCGCAATTGTCGCCACTTTCGTGGGCACTCCTGCGAGGTCGCAGCGGAGTGGGGTTTACACGCGGTTCGCGTCGGGGACCTCGCGGTCCTCCTCGTCTCTTTCGCTTTTTTTTATTTTCTTTTTTTTCTTTTTATGCATGTTTATTTATTTTTTCGTTTTTTTTGTTCTTCTTTTTTTTTTTTTTTTCGTTTTTTTTATTTTTCCCTGCGGGGGGAGCTGCCAACTGCGCAACTGTCGGTCCTTTCGTGGGGTCCTGGGCCCAGCGGAGTGGGGTTACACGCGGATCGCGTCGGGACCTCGCGGCTCCCTGCGGGGGGAGCTGCCCAATGTGCATCTGTCGCCTCCTGCGATCTTGCGCAACTGTCGGCACTTTCGTTGGCTCCTGGTAGGCCCAGCGGAGTGGGGGTTACACGCGGATCGCGTCGGGACCTCGCGGCTCCCTGCGGGGGGAGCTGCGAACTGCGCAACTGTCGGCACTTTCGTGGGCTCTTGGGAGGCCCAGCGGAGTGGGGGTTACACGCGGATCGCGTCGGGACCTCGCGGCTCCCTGCGGGGGGAGCTGTCAACTGCGCAACTGTCGGCACTTTCGTGGGCTCCTGGGAGGCCCAACGGAGTGGGGTTACACGCGGATCGCGTCGGGACCTCGCGGCTCCCTGCGGGGGGAGCTGTCAACTGCGCAATTGTCGGCACTTTCGTTGGCTCCTGGGAAGCCCAGCGGGGTGGGGTTACACGCGGATCGCGTCGGGACCTCGCGGCTCCCTGCGGGGGGAGCTGCGAACTGCGCAATTGTCGGCACTTTCGTTGGCTCCTGGGAGGCCCAGCGGGGTGGGGTTACACGCGGATCGCGTCGGGACCTCGCGGCTCCCTGCGGGGGGAGCTGCGAACTGCGCAATTGTCGGCACGTTCGTGGGCTCCTGGGAGGCCCAGCGGAGTGAGGCCCAGGGGGCGTTGACATTTCGAACGCGAGCGCGGAGTGCGGCCCCTTCTCGAAGCGCGCGGCGCTGTCATTGTGGCCCGAGCGCGCGGCGCTGTTTCTCCGTGGCATGGGAAAGCGCGGAGGGGGGAAAGAAGGTGCGGCCTTTGTACAGGCAGTATGTGGGCACCAGGATCGAGCGCAGAGCGTTGTTCGCTGATCGGTCGCGCGGCGCCGTCCTGTAGCGCAGTGCGCAGCGCTGTCCCTCGAGAGCGCGGGGCGCTGATTCTTCGTTGAGCGAAGTACACCGCTTGACCCTCAAGCGCGGCGGTTGCCAAGAATGCAATGGTCGTCGCTTTCGTGGGCCTCTTGGACATCCAGCGGATGTTCAGCTATTTTGAAAGCGCCAGTTGATAATGCCACCTGTTGCCAAAGGGTTGGGAACGTCCCTGGGTCATTTTTTGACAGGGATGGTGGGGGGCCGCATCGGGTTGGCTGCGCATGTTCCGAATTTGGAGGCAGATTGTGTTTTGTATTGCGTTTTACACGGGAGGGTGGGGGGGGGGTCGTCATGGTCCTTGGTTGGCCCCCAGTCGCCTGGGGGAGGGGGTGTTTATCAATAGGGAACAGTGATAAACCCCTCCCCGAAGGAGAAAAAGGGGGTTGGAAGAGGAAGCTCTCTAGACCACCGGCGCCCAGAGGGCTGGTGGGATTTACTCAAGTGCCGCGCCCCCGACGCCCAGGCACCCAGGAGTCGCGCTCACGCTTAGGATTCCCTCACATATTACATAGGAATCGGGATCTCGCTGCCCTTCGTGGCCCCGTTGCAGCCCTTCGTGGCCCCCTCGCTTTGTTTCGTGGTCCCGTTGCAGCCTTTCGTGGCCCCCTCGCTGTCCTTCGTGGCCCCGTTGCAGCCCCTCGTGGTCTCCTCGCTGCCTTTCGTGGCCCCGTTGCAGCCCTTCGTGGCCTCCTCGCTGCCCTTCGTGGCTCCGTTGCAGCCCTTCGTGGCCCCCTCGCTGCCCTTCGTGGCCCCGTTGCAGCCCTTCGTGGCCCCGTTGCAACCCTTCGTGGCCCCCTCGCTGCCCTTCGTGGCCCCGTTGCAGCCCTTCGTGGCCCCCATCGCTGCCCTTCGCGGCCTCATATATGTGTGTGTGTGTGCCCTTCGTGGCCCCCGCTCGTTCGCGCCCGCGGTTGCCCTATATGCATGCCCTTCGTGGCCCCGCTGTCGCCCTTCGTTGCCCCCTCGCTGCCCTTCGTGGCCCCGTTGCTGCCCTCAGTGGCCCCGTTCTCGCCCTCCACGGCCCAATATACGTATGCCCTTCGTGGTCCCCGCTCGTTCGCGCCGGTTTTGGCCCCATGTGCATGCCTTTCGTGGCCCCGCTGTCGCCGTGTGTGGCCCCCTCACTGTCCTACGTGGCCCAGTTGCTACCTTCAGTGGCCCTATCGTTGCCTTCTGTGGCCCCGCATTATCTGCCTTTCGTGGCCCCCGCTCGTTCGCGCTCTTCGTGGCCCCATACGCATTCCCTTCGTGTCCCCGCTGCCGCCCTTCGTGGCCTACTTCGTGTCCTTCGTGGCCCCGCTGTCGTTCTCTCTCGCTCTCGCTTTCGCTCGTCGTCGTCGTCGTCGTCGTTGCGTCGTAGTCGTCGTCGTCGTCGTAGTCGTCGTCGACGTCGTGTCGTCGTCGTCGTCGTCGTCGTCGTCGTCGTCGTCGTCGTCGTCGTCGTCATCGTCGTGGTCGGTCCCCTGCCCGTCCCTCTTGGGGTCGGGTCGACGGTCCGCGGCCGCCCCGCCGATCAGCGCTGCCGCTGGCCAGGCCGACGGTCCGCGGCCGCCCCGCCGCTTGCCGGGGCCCGGCCTGCAGGGAAGAAAGGTATACCCCCCAAAAGGGGTACGATCGAAGACGAAGAGGGCGGGTATCGAGGGTTTAGGGAACATTACGCGTTATTGGGACACTCGAGCATATAAGGGCGACAGTCTTAAAATGATTGCTGTTGGTGTTGTTGTTGTTGTTGTTGTTTTGTTGTTGTTGTTGGTTGTGTTGTTGTTGTTGTTGTTGTTGGTGATGGTGACTGTAGTGTTGTTGTTGATGTTGTTGTGAACATTATTGTATTCTAAAGAATAATTATTGTTGGGGCCTGGGTGCACGACACTGTCATCGTGCTTAAGGCAGCAGCCTCATTTTCTTCATTTCGTTAGGACAGTCTAGGCACAAAAAACGGGGGAGTCCGGATCCAGTTGTGTTGTTACGATCGGTTTTCCCTTGGAAAAAATAAGCTAAAGTGGACATGTCTTGTTCTAACATAACCAAACTTCAAGAATCCCTTGCAAAAAATAAGGTAAAGTGGACATTCGCGCGCGCAAGACGAAATCCTTCCAAAACCTTAGTTTTCGTAGCGATTTTAACATAAAAACATAACAAAAAAAAACCAATGGTTTCTCAAAAAAAAATGTCAAAATTTCATCCCGCGCGCTCTTGCGGATTTGTAGGAAACCCAACACTTTTAAATCATTTCTGTCAAACGGGCTTTTGCGAGCAACTTTTTCGAACTTCTGCAACAACGGTTGCGCACCTGCCAGGGCCATCATCCCTGTCAAATAATACCATGCGGGACAAATTCGTTTTTTCTTCGCGCGCGCACGCCGTCGTCGTCGGCCGCGGGGCCCTGAATAGTAGCCACGGTCGTCCGCATGCCACGAAGTGAAGTGTTCGAACGTCATAGGGCGGGAAGCTGGGTGTGGGTGGTGGCGAAGAGTCGTTTGGAAATTTGGTAGAGCTTGAACCGGCCCCCCCACAAAGTGGGGGTATTGCCCGCCTCCTATGAAAACCCTGGCACTGGTGAGAACGGTGTGTCCCCACGTGCTAGTAATTGTTGTTGTTGTTGTTGTTGTTGTTGCTGTTGCTGTTGTTGTTGTTGTTGTTGCTGTTGTTTCTGCTGCTGTTGCTGCTGTTGTTGTTGTTCTTGTTGTTGGTGTTGCTGTTGTTGCTGCTGCTGTTGATGTTGTTGTTGTTGTTGTGGTTGTTGTTGGCGGTGGTGTTGTTGTTGTTGCTGTTGTTGTTATTGCTGCTACCGCTGCTGCTGCTGTTGTTGTTGTTGAACATTATTAATTCTAAAGAATAATTATTGTTGGGGCCCCTGGTGCACGGCCCCCCCGCCGCGCCTAGGCCGCAGCTACATTTTCTTCATTTTTTCGCGAAAGCTTCAGAAAAGTGGATGGGGTCCAGATCCGGTTGTTTTGTTGTAATCCGTTTTCCCTTGCAAAAAAACACTATAAAATGACATTTCTTGTTCTAATATAATCAAATTTCAAGAATCCCTTGCAAAAAATAAGGTAAAGTGGACAGTCGCGCGCGCAAGACGAAATCCTTCCAAAACCTTAGTGTTCGCAGCGATTTTAACATAAAAACATCAAAAAACCAATGGTTTTTCAACAAAAAATTGTCAAAATCTCATCCCGCGCGCTCTTGCGGATTCGTAGGAAACCCAACACTTTGTAAACATTTCTGTCAAACGGGCTTTTGCGAGCAACTTTTTCGAACTTCTGCGACAACGGTTGCGCACCTGCCAGGGCCATCATCCCTGTCAAATAATACCATGCGGGACACATTCGTTTTTTTGCGCGCGCACGCCGAAATCTCAAAAAACCATTGGGTTCTTAAGAATTTTAGCACCGCGCATCATAAAATCACACGAATCGCACCGTAGGTCCTCGAAAAACACCTGCACGACTTTTCAAAATTTCCACCCGCGCGCGCTGTCCGAATCCTAAAACAACCAATGGTTTTCCAACATTTATGTTACATGAGCTCGCGCGAGCTACTTTCGCACGCTTTTGCAACGGGGATCATGTGTACCATGTACCCTACGGGTCAGATGCAACTGATGCCTTTGCGTATTCCCACTTCGGCACAGGAATTTGATTAAAAAATGTGACGAACTCCTCTCTCTCTGTCTCTCTCTCTTTGTCTCTCTCTCTCCCGCTCTCTTCCTCTGTCTCGCCTTCTCTCTCTCAGTGTCTGTACCATGTCTAGCACTGGTAACAAAGGTATTTGTGTATTCCCACATCCGCCCAGGAATTCCACAAATGTGACCAACTATCTTGCGAGTACGTATCATTTCATGTGTGTCGTGCACACTATCAAATGTAACAGAGTTGTGTATTCCCATCATCCCAGGAACTTGACCCAAAAATGTGACCAACTCCGCTCTCTCTGTCTCTCTCTCTGTCTGCTCTCTGTCTCTCTCTCTGTCTCTCTGTATTATGTATTGTATGGCACAATTGCACCATGCTGGGCACATGCGCGCCCCGAATAAGTGACCAAGTTCTGTGGGTGTGTACCCCACGCCAGTGTAGTAGCCACGGTCGTCCGCACGCCACGAAGTGAAGTGTCCCAACGTCATAGGGCGGGAAGCTGGGTTTGGGTGGTCGCGAAGAGTCGTTTGGATATTTGGTAGAGCTTGTAATGCCCCCCCACGAAGTGGGGGTATTGCCTGGTGTCGTATGAAAACCCTGGCACTGGGGAAAACACCACGCGTTCGGGTAAAATGATTGTTGTTGTTGTTGCTGCTGCTGCTGCTGCTGCCGCTGCTGCTGCTGCTGCTGCTGCTGTTGTTGTTGTTGTTGTTGTTGCTGCTGCTGCTGTTGTTGTTGTTGCTGTTGTTGTTGGCTGATGCTGCTGCTGCTTATGTTGTTGTTGTTGTTGTTGCTGTTGTTGCTGCTGCTGATGATGATGATGATGTTGTTGTTGTTGTTGTGGTTGTTGTTGTTGTTGGTGGTGGTGTTGTTGCTATTGTTGTTGTTGCTGCCGCTGCTGCTGCTGTTGTTGTTGTTGTTGTTGTTGTTGTTGTTGTTGTTGTTGCTGTTGACTTTTTGGGCGCTTTGAATGGTCCTTGGGGTGGGGTGGGGGGCGTGGGGGGTCCACCCCGCCCTCCCCGGGAGAGTGTGGCGGCCTCCACCCGGCGGTGACCTCCTTCTTGCACCTGCCTGGGCCGTGGCTGGGGCGTCTGGCCGGACGGCCTGGGGTTTGGCGGTACATTTCGGCGGCGCGCCCGGGGGGAAGTGAGAAGGAGCAGGCCTTCACAGAAGGCGGCGAGGCTTCTCGGAAGCCCTCGAGCCTTTGAGAAGTTTTCTGGTGTCTTCGGAGGAGGCTCAGAAAACTTCTCGGAAGGCCTGAGGCCCTGCGGGCTTTCTGAGAAGGTCCGCCGCTTGCCACTTCCCCCTGGGCTCGCCGCCGAACATCCCCGCGGGCCAGATGGTCGCTTCTCCAACCGCTACGGCTTCGTGGGGCTGGATGCAATCGCGGACGGCCACACGGACTTCGTCGTGTCCGATGGCATGAACGAGGCTGGGCTGACTCTTTCGCTCCATACGATGAGGACTGCAGAGTACGAGGATGCCGAGCCCGGCAGGACGACGTTGTTGATCAACGATGTGATCCCGTGGGCGTTGGGGCAGTTCAGTTCGGTGGCTGAGGTAGCCGCGGGCCTGGAGAACGTGAGCGTCGTACCCTTCCAGGGCGCCACGCAAGAGGACTTCGTGCACTGGGCGATAGCAGATGCGGCTGGGAATTCCGCCGTGCTGGAGTACGTGGCAGGCAAGCGGGTGCTGCACAGGAACGACGTTCGGGTGATGACCAACGATCCGGACTTCACATGGCACCTGAAGAACCTGAACATGTACGTGGGGCTATCGCCGCAGAAGCCATCGGGCAACGCGGCTATCACCGTGAACACCGAGATTGGCGAGGTGCCTCAGATTTGGAGCCTCGGATTCAATCTGCTTGGGTTGCCAGGCGACACTTCCCCAGCATCCAGATTCGTGCGTTTGTTCTACTTGCGACAGTACGCGCAGCTGGCCGAACCAGCTACGTCGGTGGAAGACGCCATCGTCCTTGCCACGGGACTGCTCAACACCGTGTTCATCCCTCGCGGAACGGTAGCACCGCTGAACGGTTTCACCGACCCCCTCTCCTACGAGCTCACCCAGTTCGGCCTACTGAAGATACCCTCGCAGCGGAAGCTCCTAGTCCGCGGCTATCGCAACATGGGCTGGCGAGAGGTCGACCTGAGCAAGCTGCGTTGGGACCAGCGCCGGTCGATCCCGGTGGAAGACGGCACGCTGGGCATACAGGACGTCACGGGTCAGCTGGTCGCGGAGCCGGGCGAGTTGATCTGACACAGAAGTAGGGGCGCTTCGGTGGATGGGGTGGGGGGAGGCGGGGCGGCGAGGCAGGATGATGGGGAGGGGGACCTTGAGATCCGACGTAGCAAAAAATACAACATAGTGAAAATCCGCGCCCGGAGCCCCGGAGCCTATCTTTCTGCTTCATTTTTCGAGCTGGATCGATTTGTGAGGGTCCCGGGGCCCGAAAAAAGGGTGACAACGCCCGGCTCGAAAAAATTCAGTCGCCAGGATCTCAGGTATGGGGAGGGGGAGGGGGGGGCGAGCGGAAGGAGAGAGGACGACACCACTGCATTTCCCTTTCTGCCAGATCTGGTGCTCGGCTGTGCTCGCCGCCACCCTCCTCGCGGGCCGCGCCACGCCGCGCGGCCGCCTGGCGCGGCACCGCCCTCGGCCAGGCGTCGAGACGGCGCCGCGGCGCCCTCTTCCCCGGTTACCGCCGGTGCACGTGGGGCCCAGCACTGGTGCCGCTTCCTCCTCCGCCTCCTCCGGCAAGACGTCCACGGTGTGCGCGGTCTTGGGCGAGGCCTCTGTGAATGAGGCTGCGGACATGCTGGAGGCCGCTGCTGGTCAGGGCCCTGCCCTGGGGGCCCACCCCCCTCTGGCAGATGCCTCTGTGGGTGGCGATGTTCAGGCTGAAGCTGCTGCAGGCGATCTACATGCGCATGAGCAGTTCGTTGGCCAGCGGAGCGCGGCGAACGTGATGCTCACGCTGCGCTTCGCCATCGCGAGCAACAAGAAGGTGGCGGTGCTGAAGGACTGCTACGTGGCCGCGGAGGTGGTCTCGTACGTCCACCCTGGCACCGTTTTCTCCGTTGGTGGGGCCAAGATCGACGTGAGCGACGGCCGCAGTTGCCTTGGTCTGACGGACGGACGGCACTGGTTGGGTACCCACGCATTTGGTGAAGGGCCCGTCCAAGCAGGTGGTGACGGAGGTTGAGGGCACCGCCGGGACGTTGCAGCGGCCGTGCGGTTTGCCTTCCCCTGCGACCTCTGGGTGTCCTTCCTCGGCTTCGTTTTCCTGATCGTGTGCGTGGAGGTGCGCTTCTTCCTCACGGCAGGTTCACTCAGGCCCGTGCTGGTCTCGCCAACCAGCACGGTATATGTGGGCTGCGTTCGTGGCTGATGTCAGAAATCCTCCTCCTCCTCCTCCTCCTCCTCCTCCTCTTTTCCTCCTCCTCTTTTCCTCTTCCTCCTCCTCCTGCCGCTCCCTGCGTCAAGCGGTACCGCGCGGCCGCCGCGCGGCACCGCTCCAGCCAAGCGTCCCGACGGCATCGCGGCATCCTCCTCCGTGGGGCCCCAGCGCAGCCCCGGGCCCCAGCGCAGTCCCGCGCCCCCCTCTCGCGCTCTCGGAGCGCCAGGGCCCGGGCTTCCCGCAGCCGCCGTCTCCGCTCCCTGGGCGATCGCCGAGCGCGCTCCGCCACCTGCAAAAGGGCCTGCTCGCACGCGTCCGACAAAACAGATGCGTCCTAAAAGAGGCCCTGCCTTCGAGAATGGAAGGGGTTGTCCTCTCTTCCGCCGCGGAAGGCGGCGGAAGGGCGGCGGAAGGTCGGGGGAAGTAAAATGAGGCCGCCTGAAGCCGGCGGAAGGCCGGCGGAAGGCGGCGGGAATAAAATAACGCTTGCAAGAGATGAGCACGTTTTTGGGTTCCGGGTTTCCGAAATCGCCCATGTGTTCGCCTCTTTGTATTGGATCGTAGATCCCCCGCGCCTTGATCCAGGCCCTTTGCGAGTGGTCACTCTGCGAGCCGTGGGGCGCGCTTGTCCAGGCGAGGTGCCCACCGCCAGGGAGCCCAGCGCCAGGCGCCGGGGGGGACGGAAGGTGTGCTCGCGGCCCTTCACAGCCGCCCCCTCCGCTCCTGGGCCCAGACCCCCTCGAGTTATGAAAAAATCACGACGGGAGGTTTTTCATTATTTTTGGCCTTTGGGGGCCCTTACCGTCCCTCGGGACCGTCAAAAAACGGCTCAGGACGAAAAACCGGTCCTGGGGAATGGGTCGAGACCTCGGGGGGTCGACGTCATGAAAAAATCATGACGTCGGGGGTCTGGGGGCGAGGTGCCCACCGCCAGTGTCCGGCGCTGGGGAGCGCACCCTCGGGCAGCCGTGCCCCGGGCGCCCCCAGCCATGCCGCAGGCCTGGACACCGAGGGCCCGGCCAAGAACCCCTCGCTGCGATGTCTTTCGCGACGGGGGGAGGTGGGGGTCCTGGGCCCCCAGAGCCCACAGCGGCCAAGAGCCCCCCGTTGTGATTTTCTCCCACGACGCAGGGGGGGGCAGTGGGGCTCCTGGGCCCCGACGGCGCGGCCGCGGCTTGCAGACTCCGCGGCCGCGGCTTGCAGCATCCGCGGCCGCGGCTCGGCGGCCTCGGCGCACGGCCGCGTGCGCGGGCTTGCGCTCGGCTTTGCGCCGCTGCCCCTCCGCTGGAGCGGCGCCGCTCGTGTCGCGCCTGTTGCACTCCAGTTTGCGACCAGATGTCTGAGAGGAGGACCAGGTACACGCCGGTTGTTGAAAGTAGGTATTTTTGGATTCCCATCTCCCAACGTACTTCAAGCGCCTTTCTATCTCAAGAAGCGATATCTAGTTACTTCTGCTGTGCTTTGTTATTCTCTGGGAGGGCCTGAACCCAATCTACTTTATCCGCCATCCTACTTCATGTTTTTACCTACTTCTTTCGACCGGCGTGTAGCGATACTGCTACCCTTCCTCGTTTTCGCCTTTTTCTGTGCCTCATGTGAGGCCCTCGTCGCCACGGCTGGATGCACTTCGAAATTCTGGTCAGAACACAACCCAGGAGCGAACTGGGGAGTAGTGGTATCGGTATCTTTTGGTTTCCCCACTGTCAGCTCTAATCACCGGCGCCGCCGTGGTCAGATTCAATTCGGTTGGTGCCCCCACCCCGCGGTTCGCCCGAGCAGGGCTTTTTTGAATCACGCGCCGGCGTGTTTTTGTCAGTCACGAGCTGACATCACAGTCGAGACGTTGAGATACGGAGCATTTAGGGTTCGCACTGGGCTCGTGGTTCCCCAGGTGCCTCCTCAATCGTTCCTCCGAAGCGCGTCCTCCTTACAATCTCCTCTCCGTATCGCTTCCTTCTTCCTGGGTGGAGGAGGGTGGGGTGGACGGGGGTACCAGGGGAGGTGGAGGGGGAGGCGAAGGAAAAGGGACGAAAGGGTGGATTAATGGTGATATGGAGGAGGAGGAGGATGCCGGGGAGGAGTTGATGATGATGACGATGATGATGCTGCTGATGATGATGATGCTGATGATGATGGTGGTGGTGGTGATGATTAGGAGGAGGAGCAGGAGCAGGATGATAATGATGATGATGATGATGATGATGGTGGTGGTAGGAGGAGGACGAGGAGGAGGAGCAGGATGAAGATGATGACGATGATGATGATCATGATGATGATGATGATGATGATCATCATCATGATGATCATGATGATGCTGACGATGATGATGATGATGATGATGATGATGATGATGATGATGCTGCTGCTGATGATGCTGATGATGATGATGCTGATGGTGAATATGATGATGCTGATGATGACGAGATGAGGAAAAGGAGGAGGATTATGATGCTGAACATGCTGATGATGAGGATGATGAGGATGAGGATGAGGATAATGATCATGCTGAGGATTATGATGAGGAGGATGAGGAGGAAGAGGACGGGGATGAGGGCGAAGATGAGGATCGGGAGACGGAACACTTAGAGGTGGAACAGGAGGAGGCTGGCGAGAAATTGATCGCATCAGAGGGAGGGAGAAGAAATATTTGGATATGATGATGACGAGGAACATGGCGATTGTGATGACGACGGTTCTCAAGATGATGATGAAGATTGCGTTTGTAGGCGATGGCGATGAGGACGACTCTACCCATAAGGTGATGGCGATGACGATTGCGGCGATGATCATAGCGATGACGATGACGATGGCGATGACGATTACGACGACGATTATGGTTCTGACGATGCTGGAGATGGTGGTGGCGATGGTGATTTTGGTGAAACGTGTGATGTTCATGCACATGAGCTCCAGCAGCATCACCAAGAACGCAACGATTATAGCTACGATTTTGGCGATGGTGGTGGTGATGAGGGGACACCATGCGGAGGAGAAGGACCCAGAGATCCGATGTCGTTATTTTTTCAATGCGGGGTCCCCGGAAGTCTCGACCCATTCCCCAGGACCCGTTTTTCGTCCTGAGTCTTTTTTTGACGGTCCTGGGGCCCGGCGAGGGCCCCTCGAGGCCGAAAATTGCGAGAAACCTCCGTCTTGATTTTTTCAATACGTTGGATCTCTGGGGAAGGGAGAAGTAGGGAGGAGGGGGAGAAGGGTGCAAAACGGGGCGGCTGTTGGTCTAGACTTCCGAGGCGCCAGAGGCCCCGACCCCGGCGGCGCTGTGGTGACGGCCCCGGGGCCCGAGGCCCCAGGCCGAGATCGGGGAGAATGCCAGGGCTGGAAGACAGCGGATCGTCTGGCATCTTGTGGGGCAGATCCACCACCCAGAGATCCAACGCATGGGCAGACAACAAGACGCAGGTGTTTCGCAAGCTTCAGCTCCTGGGTGCCCTCGCCGGGCCCCAGAACCGTCAAGAAACGACTCGGGATGGAACACCGGTCTCGCGGACAGCCCAGCTGTCGTCCTCGCGGACGGCGGTTGCCTGTTACCGAACGCGGCATGACCTGTTACCGAAACCAGTATGACGCAATCCAATAACAAATGATAGAACAAGTCTCCACTCATCCGGATCGGAAATGCGCAAGAAGAATCAAGTCGCAAGAAAACATCGACGAATATTCGAATCGCCAAAATATCTCGAGATATCATTCCTCATACTGTCGGCATGGATAAGCAATGAACGGGAATATTAACGACGTATCACCGTTTAGGCAGATGTTTCGGAAGCATTTCGGACACCTATTGTGCTCGTTCCTCTGTGCCTCGCTCCTTTCCCTCCCTCCATGCTTCTCTTGCTCCCTCCCCTCCCCGCCCTCCTTCTCCCCTTCCTCCTCACCCGTGTATCTTGGGCGCATCGAGGGAAAGACGGGAATGCTGTTCATATTGAAAAATTGTCGAGGAACATCAGTTTGTAGGGGGAATGTGACAAAGGGATGGAAGAGCGAGGGGAATGAGGATGAAGATGATGAGGAGGAGGAGGAGGAGGGCGAGAATAGGAAAACCTGGGGGGCGATGTCGCTGTCTGGAGGCGGCGCCGGATGTTTGCTTTCCGCGCGGGGCTGGCGTGTCAGAAAAGCAACTCCCGCGGCCTCGAGTTGGTCGCCAGTGCGAATTCGAATCGTCAGCCCGCGAAGTCCTTCCCAGCTTTTCCTTCCCTGGCCCTGAATCGTCAGCCCGCGCTCCCCCCCCAGGCCCCCGGAGAACCTGGGATTGTCCGCCATCCGTCTGCCTGCGCAGCCACCCCGCCCTGAATTGTCAGCCCGCGCTCCCCCCCCAGGTGCAAAGAACCCGGGATTGTCCGCCCTCCGTCTGCCTATTCTGCCCCTCCGCTATTGCGGCGGCGCGAAGTCCCGCGAAGCTATGTTTTAATCGTCCTCCCTAGTTTTTCCTGGTGTGTGTTCGCATGTATATATATATATATTTATATATATATATATTATATATATATATATATATTATATATATATATATATATCCGTAGGGGCTTCGCCCCCTGCCGCGGCCCCCTCTTCTCGGAGAATGGGCCATGGAAGAGCTCTAAGTCATGAGGCTTGGCGCTGTCGTGAAGCAGTTATCGACTTCATGCGAGGCCGATTCGACAATCGGCAAAACCAAAACTGATCCAAGAGGGGTTACCACACAGGGCGATTGGTTAAGACGTGTATGTTTACGAGCTTGGTTACCACACCTTGCGATTAAAGGGCCGAGGGAGTTCTCGAGTTTGGGTTACCACGCCTTGCGATGGATG